GCGCTCACCCGCAGCACTCACCCGCAGCACTCACCCAAGCATGAGCCCAACACTCCAGCTCATCATAGAGCCAGTTTTGCGACGAGCCTCCTTCAATATTCATAGCTACACTTGCAAATCATAGTCCAAGTGACCTGAAAGTTCAGTTTTAGGAGAAAAGAAAAGAAAGCGGGATTCTCAACACACTGAAAGCCTGAATATGTCGTACAGGTGATTCACCTGACGCCAATATGGCATGATAACCTTATTCTTTGTTTAAGAAATATTGAGCTAATGTTCCAATGCTCGAATCGAAGCGGCTAAACTATACCTGGAATATTTGCCGCGTTATTGGATAGTTAATCACAAAGTGATTTGATCAGGGTTGGCGCAGTGATTTTAAAAACTTCAATCATTTTCTTCTATTGCAAATTGGCGAGCTAGATACAATACGGAAGTGATAGCATTGCTGGAACTGAATGTTCATCATTATGAAGAGAAGATCATTATCATCGTCTGAAATGATGTGGTACACGCGAACAAGTTTTGTCATCGTGTGGACGCAGTAAGTGCGGCCATCGGAAGCGCGATTATAAATGTACATCACATAACACATCGGAAAGATGCAATGCAGTGCATGCAATACTTATGACTTCGCTTTATATAGGGGCTGTACAAGTGTACATAGAAAGCGCGTCATAAGTAACTAATTGGCCAGCAACATTCACTTCATCGCTTGTCGTCGATATCAAAGATTATTAAACGCTTTGATTTCTAAAAATATTTTCTGAATGTAAATTGAAACATTAATGACTGTGTCTTTAGGCGAATAGTTCATTTTCCCCGTCCGCAAGAATAAGTCTCTTGCAAACAACAAAAATTAATAATTGCAAGCAAATTCCCTCGTTAATATCACATTAGTGAAGACAGCCATGAACTCGACAAGATATTCACCAGTTGTTCACATATCAGCGTTCATGTTGTTACTCATGTTGGTGGGGGGAGCCACAGGAGTGCTATTATCGAACCATTTCTCCAAAGTGAGTAACCGTCTATAAAAGTGAACATGTGAACGTTACTTGCGGTTTTAGTTATAATTTTCTTGAAACATCAGAAAACTGGCGTTGAGCAATTTTGACGTCATGACGTTGAAAGAACGTTGACTAAACGTTGCTAACGTTGACTAAACTAGTGATTTACAAATTAAAAGTTGACTAAACGTGTTTTCAACGAAATCAACTCGTAACAAAAATTATTCCAAAGTCATTTGATTGGAGGGGATCTATTCAACGTGCACTATTGCAATTTAAATTTGTAATTAGTTAAATTAATTTATATTATTCTTTGAATGACTAAAAAAGAGTTCCCATAAGGAAGGCTAGAGCAAATATTTGCAATTATTGCGTAGTGTAATGCTGGTTATTAAGAAATAAAACAGTTTATCCACAGTCAGGATACAAGCATTTTATCAAATAAAGCAGTCTACCCCGGGTCTGGCTGCTAGTTATTTACAAACTAACTATTCAACCCCGAGTTAATACATTAGTTATTAATAGATTCAAAACCTATCAGGATACCAGTGATTTATAAAATAAAGCGCTCAAACTACTCAAGTTAATACATTATTTATTAATAAATTCAACCCCTATGAACATTACAGGTCATAGGGAACGTCGTGAACAACGAGTGCCTCCTGACGACGGCCGTGGCCGCCCCTGTCCCACTGGGTCTACGTGGCGCCTGCAGTCTCATGTGCCAGCAGAACTCCAGCTGTCACTTCTTCTGTTTCTTCAAAAGTATGTGCTGATGGTTAATGACTATGAGGAATATCAATACATTAATAGATGATGTGTTGTACTCTTATGAGGAATATTAATGCATTGATAGATGTTGTATTGTACTCTTATCAAAATGTTAACACGGCTTGCTCAGGGCTTGTAATCTTTGAGATTTGATCATCACTTCACGGCCGAGCTGGTCTTCACAGGACCAAGAATCAGCCTAGTTTTTTTTCCGCTATTACAATAATTAACCAAATCAAATGATTTGATTGTATGTATAGCAATTGAGCAGAAAATTTAAAGCTATGAAGTAGGAAGTAGATAATGAATAACTTAAATATTAATATTTTTACATTAAACATGGCTTAAGGAATTATTCGACTTTAACACTCCGTGGCACATTGTTCTTTAGTGGTTTTACAATGTTATAATAGAGGTAAATTTGTTTCGGCAATAGTAAATTAATACTAATAAATATTACTCAAAATTTGCATGTTTAATGACTGGCGCTGCAAAATATTTAGGGGCTATTCTGGTGCATCCAGTATTCTAGGATACTTACAGTGTCGGGATATTGCCTGCATTTGAAACTTATTTTTAGTGTGAGAATACTGCGGCGTTGCAGTACTGGGAGAAAAAGAGTGGACTGGCATAAATGAATTTAATGTAAAACAGGAATAAAAATGTTTTCAGTTTGTAACGGGTGTCAACTTTGAGTTCAATGTTCTATGACTCTATGTCAATATTGCACTTACAAGTTCAACCATGATTCGATGTGAAGTTTCAGTTTGAACCGGTTTTTCTTCAATAAACATCCCGTATTATTATTTTAACCTAATAATAATATAATATAATTATTAATTATATTAAATATTAATAATAATTTTATTAAATTAAATTTAAATAAATAAATTAATTTTTATTAAATTATTATTAATAATTTTAAAAATAATAATAATCATCCCGTATTTTTTATTTTAACTAGGATCATTCCATGTCAAGTGTTTAATAAATTTTGAAAATCAGCCCTACATGACCATCAACAATTTTGATTAAATTTGACACACAATCACGTTCATATTTCAGCTGAAATTTTAGCTAAAAATCTGAAAAACTTTTTAAATTAGGGTTCCTCCCGGCAGAGGTGGTGAAAATGTCCCCCGATCACAAGGCGCAAAATTTCCAAATTCAGGTCACTGCTGTGGAGTATCTATTATAGGCAGTGAATAGAAAATTGAGCTGTTGGTAGTACTTGGAAGGGTTCTTTCAAAAAATTTACTTCCAATAGTTTATTGTGAATACTTTTTGCGTAAAATAAGGTCAAACTTGCTCGAAATTAATCAAGCAGGAAAAATGCACATGTTTATCGCCCTGTAAATGAGTGGGAAAATTGTACATTTCCTCGAGACTGGTACAGTGCATTGTCAATATAGGTAACAGTGAATGTACGAAACATTGCCATTTAATTCACCGTCGTTTATCAGCGAATATCATCTAAAATTGCTCATAGAAACCTCGGAGCCATTTGTAAATAATGTCTGAATACCAATATGAAAATATTAAAGTAAACCTATTTTGTTGAAACATCATTCGTAAGAAAACTTAAATGTTAAGAACATATTTTAAATCTACGTGAGCGTTCTTAGGAACATATAATTATTCCTCTAATATTTGTACATTTTGAAATGGGCGTTACCTTAAAGGATGATAGAAACTCAGGACTGTTAACCGTAAAAGCAGTACGTATGTAGATAGTAGGAAAGCAGGCAATCATTCGCAACACACCGCTCTGTAGTCGCGTCAAAGAAGCAGTGGTGCCATTAATTAACTCCAGATATCAACTTAGCAGGATAAGTTCACGTGTTGTAGAGTCCATATTTGCCATGATTTTCCCTGATGTTCTTATACAATTGTTGTCTACGTCGACATTTTAAACAGGTAACAGTACGTGCGCGCTGTTCAGAGCCTTCGTTGCCGTGCGATGGCAAGGCCATCCTGTCTCAGCGTCCACCACAACGTACGACGCTTGCTACACGTCGTGGGGGGACCCCCGGGACATCGTCAAGACGAACTCCCCCTTCGCTTACTCCTCCATTTTAGTGGCAGGCAGCCAGTCCTATGCCACCGATGGCTATGCCTGTAATCCACCGATCCATTTTGTGACGTTACGGCAATCCAACAGTTACACACAAATCGACATGCAGAAGATGGAAAGAGTCCACACGGTGATTGTGGCCACAGCCTGGCCAGACCACTTCTCTGACTTGGACGTGATCCTCAGCAACACAACTGACTTCAACCTGGGCAAGAAGATAGGACGAGTTGACGGCGACACTCCGTCGTATTCAACGTATTCGTTCGACACCAACACCAGCGTGGCGGGGCGGTACATCACGTTCTTCCAGGCGCCTTACGACTACCATGGGTTCGCAGACATCCAGCTCATCCCGGAGGAAATTTAACCTCTCCTGTCGGATTAAAGAAGAACCTAATATATGATCGGATAATTTGATTAATTGGCAACTTAGATCCCAACCTGCGAGTCCTGGAATCTCGCGAATGTCGTAAATTTCTATATAAAGTAACTTGGATGAGAAGAATTTTATTCTCTGTTGTCAGTGGAGACAAAAATTTTGCAAATAATTATAAAACTTGGCAAGACACTACTTAGTTTTTAATCCTAAAATAGATTATTTATCTCTGAAACTACTCCTGGTCACTCGGCAATTATAGAACACAGCAATCAGCCAGACGTGGATGCAAACCTAACGCAACACTCCATTGGTATTTCAATGTGAAGCTCAATTCCTATGCCCTTACACACCAAAACGCATTAAGCGTTCTAAGAACTAATAATATATCATTTATTGTGACAAGTAGTACGATAACGCAGTGACTGCTTGGTGGTGACCAATAAAGCAAATGAAAATTTGTCACAATAAAGTTCATACTTATTTTTCATCTATGAAGAAGGCTCTCTTGCAGGCTTACTTTATTCACTTTACTAACATTTATGGGTGATGCTACAGACCAAATACAAGCTAGAGGTGATCCCTAACAGATCATTAGTGTGTTTTATCACTCGTACGCACAACTCACTATAATAAGCACCACTGCATTAATAGGCGCCATTCACTACAATAGGCGCCATTCACTACAATAGGCGCCATTCACTACAATAGGCGTCATTCACTACAATAGGCGTCATTCACTAAAATAGGCGCCATTCACTACAATAGGCGCCATTCACTACAATAGGCGCCATTCACTACAATAGGCGCCATTCACTACAATAGGCGCCATTCACTACAATAGGCGAGTAACGTTATGATATGTTATTATTGTACGTCATTGTAACGTTATGATATGTTATTATTGTACGTCATTGTTACGCTATTGATATGTTATTGTTGTACGTCATTGTGACGCTATTGATATGTTATTGTTGTACGACATTGTAGGGTTATGATATGTTATTATTGTACGTCATTGTAACGTAATGATATGTTATTATTGTACGTCATTGTGACGCTATTGATATTTTATTGTTGTACGTCATTGTAACGTTATGATATGTTATTATTGTACGTCATTGTAACGTTATGATATGTTATTATTGTACGTCATTGTAACGTTATGATATGTTATTATTGTACGTCATTGTAACGTTATGATATGTTATTATTGTACGTCATTGTAACGTTATGATATGTTATTATTGTACGTCATTGTAACGTTATGATATGTTATTATTGTACGTCATTGTAGGGTTATGATATGTTATTATTGTACGTCATTGTAACGTTAAGATACGTTAATATTGTGTATCGAATTCACGTACTTTAAGTTTTGAAAAAGTATATAAACTTCCTTCTATCTACTACCTTTTTACAATAGGAATATTTGTAAACAATATTGTTTTACTCTTCTGGTCCTATTTTTACAGGGATTAATTTTCATGGCTAGGTTTATAATTTTCGTGTTTTGAATACAATTTCTGATTTACAACGAACTGAAGAAGTAATTTTAGGTATTATGTAGTTTTCAGTATCGTGCAGTTTCAGGTATTATGTAGTTTTAGGTATAATGTAAGTTTAGGTATTATGTAGTTTTAGGTATTATGTAGTTTTAGGTATTACCTATATAAGTTTAGGTATTAAGTAGTTTTAGGTATTATGTAAGTTTAGGTATTATGTAATTTTAGGTATTATGTAGTTTTAGGTATTATGTAGTTTTCGGTATTAAATAGTTTTCGGTATTATATAGTTTTATGTATTATGTTATTTTATGAATTACGTAGATTTATTTATTATGCAGTTGTCAGTATAATGGAGTTTGTGATATTATGAAATTTTTAGTATTAAGTAGTTTTAGGTATTATGTTTATTATGTATTATATAGTGTTAGATTTTATCTACTCTAAGATATTATGGAGTTTTCAGGTATTAAGTTGTTTTATATATTATATAGTTTTAATTATGTAGTTTAGTGCATTATCAAGTTATTTTGGAGTATTAACAAGATTTTGGTGTATTAACAAGATTTGAGTGTATAAACATTTCATTTTGGTGCATTAACACGTTTTTGATGTAACTGCAAATTATTTTGATGTATTAACACGTGTTTTGTGTGTATTAACAAGTTATTCTGTTCTGATGTATTGACACGTGTTTTGGGTGTATTAACAAGTTATTTTGATGTATTGACACGTGTTTTGGGTGTATTAACAAGTTATTCTGATGTATTAACTCGTGTTTTGGGTGCATTAGCAAGTTGTTCTGATGTATTAACACGTGTTTTGGGTGTATTAACAAGTTATTTTGTTGCATTAACGCGTCTTTTGTGTGTATTAAGAAGTTAATTCGGCGTATTAACAAGTTATTTTGATGTATTAGCGAGTTATTTTGTTCTATTTATAAGGATTTTTTGTAATAGCTAGTTATTTCGGTGTACCATCAATTTTTTTGGCGTATTTACAAAATTGTTTTCGGATAAACAATTTATTCTGTTTTATAAACAACCTATTCCTTTTTATTAACGTTTTTTTTGTGTATTAACAAGGTATTTTATGTAATGTGGTATAGTATAATCGATGTATCAATATTAACATAATAGTAATTTCCAGCAGGTCGTCATGATGCGTTAGTTGGAAACAGCAGCTAATAAAAAGCTATGTTAATTAAATAAAATTTAACTTGCATGCGAGCTCCACCTTTTCTTCCTCGACTAAGTCCTATTCAACGAAGACGTACGTCGCGCTGAAGCTATGAGTCGAGGGTTCGATCTCTGGGGCCATACTTTCAAAACTCGCTAAGTGAACGTAAGTGCTTACGCTCTATTTTCTTGTCTATGATTGGTGGATTTGGCATGAAATGCCGTCAATGATTGGCTCATGAACGTACGATATCTTAACTTTTTTTTGAAAATATGGGTCCTACTTAAATGAAATAGAATAGAAGTGTCGGCACTGAAGAAATAGGCCCATGGCCTGTTGCCGATTCTTGTTCATAGAATATAATAGAAGTGTCGGCACTGAAGAAATAGGCCCATGGCCTGTTGCCGATTCTTGTACTTTTCGTGACTTGATTCACAAGGGATCCGGCCTTTGTAACCCGATCTTTCCATATATGATTTTGTTTAAGTTAGCTGCTGGACTTATTGCCTGGTCCGGAAGGTGCTAGGCTGAACATATGCTTCCAACTGAACATTGAAGTTGCTTCCAGCGCAGATGTAAAGTTAAGTGAACATTAAGAGGCTAATAAAGCATTGTCGCCAATTCTTGGCGCAGTTGCATGCAATACGGTGCACTTATAATGTGACTGACACGAAAATGCATGGATACAGAAATTCGTTCATATATCGACTTAATAACAACGTTGCATTACGGAAATCGATTCAATTTTTACAATCAGACTTTTCTAAGTGTCCCAATTTCACTCTTATCCCAACATCAAATGTCCCAATTTCAATTTTGAACGAGCAACAGCATTTCGATGTTGCACTTAAACTCATAGGACGACGTTGCAAGAATGACGTTGATACAATTTTACAATGCAGCTGCATTCAATATGATATAAAATATAACTCGGTACTCACTGCAATGAGTGACAGAGAGCGCATTTTCTCGTCGACGAAAACGTGAAGTCATGGACGGACAGACGGACGGACGGACAGACGGACATGGCGAGCACAATAGTGCATTTTTCCCATAAATGAGAAAATGAGCTAAAATTTGGGTCCGGATATTGTTTCAACGTTGATTCAGCTAGCGAATGCCTTCTGAGATCTTAAAGCTTGTTTGGACGTGAAAGATAACTTATGATCTTTTAATTGGGCTCATAAAGGAAAACCAAAATAAAATATGGGCAGAAAGTTCCAATTTTCTAGGTAAGCAATTATGAAACACAGCATATGGGATTAAATAAATCCAAAATTCTCCAAGAATTTCAGCTTTGGAACATTTTCTATGCATTTTAACTCAGATCAGTGCAAATTATTGCCTGAGAGACCCAGCTGCGATGTGGCAAAAATTCTTTGACCTTTTTTGATCATTACTTCGCCATGCGCTCAGCAAATCGAGGGAGATTGGGCCAAAAAGCATAAGAAAGAATTCTGAAATGTTTCAATGTAAAGATTGGAGCGCCTAAAGTTAATGGAATGAACATTGATCATGCGATTGGATCGCTGACTCGTTTGAATTGATGGAATGTTGGATTGTTCAATTTGATTCCGAATTCTCATTAACGACTAGCGTGAGTGTCAGGCCAGAAAGTGGAGCCAGATGAGCGGGTTTATTATCATACTTGAATGATTTTTCTAGTACATTGGCTAGCTTCGTATCTAGCAGAAGAAACATCATGCGTGAAATTTGAGGAACATAATTAAGAAGACGTGACTCACCATCGTCGCGCAGTTCGCATGCATGATGAGGCTGCGTGCAGCGCTGTTTGACTGATATCTGCACCAGGGCTCTGATACCGTGGTGATGGGTGACTGACCTGTGATGCGTCCATGATTACCTTCACCATCACTACGTCAATAATTACCTTCACCATCACTACGTCAATGATTACCTTCACCATCACTACGTCAATGATTACCTTCACCATCACTGCGTCAATACCTTCACCACCACTGCGTCAATGATTACCTTCACCATCACTGCGTCAATTATTACCTTCACCACCACTGCGTCAATGATTACCTTCACCATCACTACCTCAATGATTACCTTCACCATCACTGCGTCAATGATTACCTTCACCGTCACTACCTCAATGATTACCTTCACCGTCACTACCTCAATGATTACCTTCACCATCACTGCGTCAATGATTACCTTCACCATCACTACGTCAATGATTACCTTCACCGTCACTACGTCAATGATTACCTTCACCGTCACTACGTCAATGATTACCTTCACCATCACTGCGTCAATGATTACCTTCACCATCACTAC